CAGCTGTGGTGGATTTTATGTCAGTCAATCTGTCTTGCTTATGACAGTTCACTATATGTCTTTCAAGTACTGCCTGTTCTCTTAATTCTGTAGAGAACTAAAAAAAAAATTAAAAAAAAAAAAATTGTTTATTTTTTCATTTACATCTCTTTCATAAAGTCATAGTAGGTGCTGTGGAGAGTGGGGGGATTTTCAATATTTATTCAGTATAAGAATGCATTCATATAAGCATTTTAGAATTCTATATCAGGTGTGTAAACCTTATCTATATGCATACTATTATAAGCAGATTATCTCTTTGCTTTCAATGAATCTTGATCTTGAGAAGGTGTCTGGAGCATTCAGGCCAGAAAACTGCTGCCACTCCTAAACAGCATTGAAATGTACATACATGGGAAAAAAATCCAAGAATGACTGTTCTGTTCACCACATAGGCTTTCTTTACCTACGCTGGTACTGCTGCCATAGGTCACTAGGAATTTCCTACAGTCCTGTAGTTGGACTGCATTTGTTTTCAGGGAAAGGTTCTTCACCCAGAGGGTGGTTGAGCACTGGAGCAGGCTGGGAGGTGGTCACAGCACCAAGCCTGACAGCATTCAGGAAGTGTTTGGACAGCACATAGTGTAATTCTTGGTGTGTCCTGTGCAGGGCCAGGAGTTGGATTCAGTGATCCCTTCTAGCTCAGGATATTCTGTGGTTCTGTGATTCTGAACTAAAGTCTGCTTGTTAGGCATTGCTAACCTCAGTGACTGATTTGTGGATAAAGACAATATTATGGCAGCTGGTTCTGTATTTCAGCTAATGAAATGGTCCATTCTTACTTCTGCATGTGGAATAAAGGAGGATAAGTGAATTACTAGGGCTTTGAATGGACAGCAACTAACAATTAAACATTGAGCTATCTTGATAATCCTTGAATGATGTAAGCTTCACATTGTCTTGTCATGTGACTAGTAGATAAAGATGCAGCAGATTTTCTAAGATCATGTGAAATTTGTATTGAGTCTAACTCTTTTGATCCTGAAGATAATCCCTTATAATAAAAAATGTTAACCTTGCATTACATTTTCTAAGTTGATGTATTTTACATTAGTAAAAGTACAGAAGATTGGTATATAAAAATTACATGGGCGTTATTCCTGCTGTTTATGGTTGACTTGGCTTTGTGTTTAGATTTTGGATTTTAATTGATGTCATCAGTAAGCTATTTTCTTTTTATTTAAAGTATTTTATTTCTTTTTTTATTTAAAGTATTGTTTGCATTGTATGTGCAAATTTAAGGTTAAAAAGTGTAAGTTTATGGCATTCATCTTGAATGTCATCACATGGCACGTACAGGACACCCTCATTACCGGACCCAGCCAGCATGGGTTTATGAAAAGGCAAGTCCTGTTTGACCAACCTGATCTCTCTCTATGGCAAGGTGGTGGATGAGGGAAAGGCTGTGGATGTTGTATACCTGGACTTTAGGCCTTTGCCATTGTTTCCCACGGCATTCTCCTGGAGAAACTGGCTGCTCATGGCTTGGATAGGCAGATGCTTCACTGGGTAAAAATGGGCTGGCTGGCCAGGCCCAGAGAGTGGTGGCAAATGGAGTTATATTCAGCTGGTGGCAGATCATAGTGGTGTCCCCAGAGCTCAGTAGTGAGACAAGTGCTGTTTAATACCTTTATCCAAGGGTATGTATGAGGGAATGGAGTACACCTTCAGTAAGTTTGCAGCTGACACCATGTTGGGCAGGAGTGTTGATCTGCTGGAGGGTAGGAAGCCTCTGCAAAAGGATCTAGACAGGCTGGATCCTGGGCCAGTGGTCTGAGGTTGAATGAGACCAAGTGCTGAGTCCTGCCCTTGAGCCACATCAGCCACAGTTAGTGCTACAGGCTGGGGCAGAGTGGCTGGAAAGCTTCCTGGAGGAAGAAGGCCTGGGGGTGCTGGTTGACAACAGCTGAACATGAGCCAGGTGACCAAAAAGGCAATTGGCATCCTGGCCTGTATCAGCAGTAGTATGGCCAACAGGACGAGGGCAGTGATTGTTCCCCTCTACTGGGCTCTTTTGAGGCCACATCTTGAGTCCTGTGTACAAGAAACACATTGAGGTCTGGATTAAGTTGAGAGAAGGACAGTGGAGCTGGTGAAGGGTCTGGAGTGCATGAGGAGTGGCTGAGGGAGTTGGGATTGTTTAGCCTTTAGAAAAGGAGGCTTGGGGGAGACGTTATTGCTTTCTACAACTGCTTGAAAGGAGGTTGTGTGCAGGCAGGAGTTAGTCTCTTCAAGTAACAAGTGACAGGACAAGAGGAGACACCTTCAAGTTGTGCTTGGGAAAATTTAGGTTAGGTGTTAGGAAAAATTTCTTCACCAAAAGATTTGTCTAGCATTGAAATAGACTTCCTAGGGAAATGGTTGGGTCACCATCCCTGGAGGTATTTAAAAGATGTGTGGATGTGGCACTTAGGAACATGGTAGGCTTGGCAGTGTTAATGGTTGGATTTGATGATCTTAAAGGTCTCTTCCAACCTAAAATTTATATTCTGTTAAAGTGAAATGTTTGTAATGGCAAGCATTCTGGATAGGTGGCCTATGCCATCTTTTTCTGGCAAGCCCTGAAATTATTTTACTATAAAGTATTGTGTAGCATGCTATACATTACTGAAAACAGCTTTACTGGTGGTACAGAGAATGACTTCAGTGAATTATTTTTAAAACCTTTTTCGCTTCTTCACAATATGTATTCTTTTCTGTTTCTATCATTTTAGAGGAATTTCGTTGTCTTGCTCTGCTGTTCTGAAGGCATTTGTCTGTGTTACCAAAATTAATTGATCTGACAGGGGTCAGAGGAAATATCTATTGGTTGCCTGCATGGTTTTGCTCCATGCCAAGCAATATGCTTGTTATTATGAATTCTTATGTAAAATGGATAATAAAGTGCTGGTACAGCTAAGTGAAGTAATTCATTACTTTCCAGATGCCTCCTAAGCACTTAGTTCCTGAAGTCAAATATTGGGGTCCTGAGCTTCTGGATGCTTAAGATTTGTTTCAGGAAGACAAAACTGATTTGTACTTCTAAGTCTTGAGTGACTTCACTATTGATGTCAGTGATGGAAAGACCTGCAGCTAAACAAACTTGAACTGACCAATATAGTTATAATCAAGATAAATTTACTGGAGGTGAAAGGTGGGAAGAAGAGATTGTGCAGGAATCTGTTGAATTAAACTACTGTCTGTCCAGTGTTTCTGGCTGTGATTCCAGTCATTAACTTAATTTCTGCTGTTACTCTTCTGTGGGGGTTATGACACCTGCAGTATGCAAACATTCATTTCCTTTGTATGGGTTAAAATTTTACTTCAAATAAGTTTATGTCTAAAATTAGAAAGTAAACATTGATGAATCTGATTTTTAATGAGAAGTAGCAGAAATCTTAATAAATATACTATAAAATTACACTGGAACATACATTGAAGGGGATTTAGTGAATGTAGACGTTTTAAAAAATGAATGAGAAGACTTTTATGTAAGACATGGGTGGTCATACTGAGAATCAGGAGTTCAGGAAGGACAACTAAGAATCACTTCTGAACAGTAAACATGGTATTTTCAATTACCTTTATTTAAATTAAAAGCATAAAGTCGTGTCTTAAGGCTGTTAGTATTTAAATGGGATGAATTTTTGATTCTGATCTGTGAAGTGTTTTATCTTGAAGTCTTGTGAGTAGTACTCCAATTTTCGTGTGACTAAAAAAATACAGATACTCTGGAGTTTAGTCAGTGAACAAATACGAATTACTGTTTAGATTTAAACAGGGAAAGAAAACTTGGCTTAAAAGCTGGTTAAAAATTTGGAAGCATCTATTATTAAGTAGTATTGATACTGGAATTTAGGTGAGAGAGGGGAAAATAAGATTAGTCAGGAAAAGGAGTCCTGTGGTTGCTTATGGGCCTGGGTCATACACATTTGCCTTGCTAATGCTTTTTTTAGTGTGATTAAAAACTTCCAGAGCTCATGACATCAAAAAATTCATTGTGTGGAAAAAAACTAAAACATTCCTTATTGTTGGCTTCAGTGTTATGTTTGGCTTTGAAGAAACTGACTTGTTTTACAGTTTCAGTCAAAGATCAACGCAATCATTTGAGCCTTGATTTTCTCTTCCAGAAGTCTGACAGAGCTGGCGGCATTTTCGTCTGTCAGGCTTTTGTTGTTTAAAATCAACTCTTTGACTCACTGACACTGTAATGAGGAGTAAACAAGCCCTATTTCTTTGCGACAATTTGTAGTATGTTTTTAGTGGATTCTGAATTTAGCAGTGCTGGTATAACAGTTGTTAAATCATGTAGCTGAAGTAAACTTCTTTACTTAGTGGTAATAATTGAGGAAATTAGTTTCACAGCCCCCTGTGGAGGAGTTTTGTCTTTGGTCGTGGTATTGTCAGCTTTGGCCCTCCACCTGTTTGCTTGCTTCAGAATTTCATCTTCCCAGTTCTCCTCTTGCATTTAACCACTACTTTGTGGTAATAGAATTTCAAGCGTCCTGCTTGGCCTTTTGTCCCAGTGATAAATGTGTTTGATAATTGCAGGACCACATGTGCTTCTGATCAACTCCATGAATGAATGTTCTAATATATGGGGCTTAAAAATATGTCTGAGAATAGGTACTCGATTGTACTAGTACATTTTAGAGGATGTGGTGTTGGTGAGAAGGTAAGGTTTAAATTTCATGTAATTTCTCTAATTGGAGAATGTAACAGTGATGTCCCTTAAAATCAAATTAAGAGTCAACATTTACAAGTACTGATCCTATCTGGCAGGTATATAAATATCTGAAGCCTTCTGGATACTTAATGCTAAAAAGAAGACGGAACTTTGTGTCTTGCAGAACCTACAATAAAAATAAATCTAAAAAGAGAAAATTATTTAGTTCAAGATTCCATTGATTTTATTCTGTGTTCTAACCAAAGAAAAGTTATTTTTGTTTACTTCTTGGTGGTTAGTTGCTGTCTATTCAGCGTACAACTTGTTCTTCATTGATGATATTTTCAGCAGATCTGAAGGTTATGAGAATTAGGTAGCAAGAGTTGAAGGAAAGTTATGTTTTTATTTAAGGAAATTTGAGTCTTGTGCTCCACATTCCATCTGGGATGAGCTAAAGCATTCTTTCCATGATTTTTCAATACTTTTGTACAGTCAATAATTAATGTTAAATCTATCACCAACAAGTGAAATTGTGTATTCAGAATATAGAGCAGGTTACCTGCTTATTTATCTGGAAAATAATGTAGTTAGCCTTCACTGGGATTTTGTTGTAAAGTTTTAGATGAGGAAGTAATAGTCTGCTTGGGATGATGGAAAGAAAAATCCTTCTTCCAGGTATCCCAAGGTTAATATATTTAAGTTGGTCTGAAGTGAATAAACCATATATGTTCCCTAATTTGAGGTTCTGTTAAGAATTCCACACAAGAGCTAGGTTCTTCACTCAATGGACAAAAAGATAGGAAGGGTTAAAATCTCAGATACTTTGAAAACACTTAAGGTCAAGGAAACTCTTGCATGAGGGAATGTCTCTATTGCCAATGCTTCCTTTTTAAACTACTCCCTCAGTTGCTAGAGCAATTCCATTGGTCGTGGGTGACCAGGTTCAGTGAAGTCCTTTTTCACCAGAGAATTATCTTGAACCTGTTACTTCTAGATTGCTGCTGGACATTTTGGGTATGACTTGCTTATAGTCTCTTGTCTAATTAAGTTTCCCACTGTAGAAGTTAGAAATTCACCAAGAATGAAAATTGAATTCAGGGGACCTGCTAATGGGTGAATACCGTAATTGTGAGAGAGAAGATTAACTTTTAACATTTTGCTGACAGTGTGCTTTTTTATCTGAAGTGAGGTAGAGATAAGAGACTGCAAATGGCTGCTCTCAATCAGAGAAGGGATTGGCTTCTCCCCTTTATGTAAGTCCTCAAACCAAGTGCACCTTAGTACAAAGAGGGTACTACTTATTTTCGTCATGTAATGATATATTATTTTTGATTGCAGACTGCCTTTATAGATTGAATAAGAGGTACAATCATTGCCAAGCTGACCAAACTGGAGACTAACAAAAGCTGCAGCTCATACAGTTATTTCCTGTTCCGCTGTTAGTTGTAACTGTAGGAGTGTGTAACTGTGTAGCTTTAAAAGGCATTGGTACAATTATGTTTTATTACTCATCAGTTGCTACAGATAGTGAAGGTTCTATAAAGAAAATAGTCAAGATCCTGAATTAGAGGTGGCACAATAAGAAACTTCTAATTTAGTTGTAAACTTTTATTTTGTTGTTTTCAGGTCATATTGAAGCCTGAAATACCTAATCTGTAGTGCCTAAAGATGAAGGAATTTCTTCCCCTGAAGAAATTAGATACACAGTTGCTATTGGAAGCATTTTATCCACTTCCAATCTAAGATTTGGAGTTCTTTTCTTCTATATTACAAGAACTTAAATTCTGTATCCCATTCCATTGATGAAATCCTAACCCTGGCTTAAATATTTTCAACAAACAGTTGGAAAAGAGGTGAGTGCAGTATTGTTACATCATGCAAAATACTATTTTGTCTTAATGAGAGGTTTGGTTAAAGGAATGTAAACAGTGAATGTACACAAAATATATCAATAGTCTCTACGTAAAACAACAAAACCTGATTTTTGGATATTCAGGTTTAATTCCAATATGTCAGTTAATGCAGGCATAATGACCTTTTAAAGTCAGTAGTTAATGTTTTCATAATAATGTTAATTCTGTCTCTTTTCAAGTGCTTTATGTAGAATAGTATACTGCTATGTAATTTATTACCTATAGGATTCCCACTAATATCCATTAACTTGAAATTATTGTAAAATGTTCACAGTTGTGTTTTCCAATGTCCTTTGTGTTTAGATTGTAAAAAAAAAAAACAAACCCAAAGAAGAAAGAAAAAACAAAAATGAAAAAGCAAGGGATTTAATTTTTCCTACTTACCACCAGTTCAGGCAACTTGTCTTCTTGAGCAATATTACCACTGATTTAAATGTTGATATTTAAATTTCTGTTGGTTGAATCTTTCCTTCTCTTTACTGTTTTATAGTATGCTGACAAAATTATAGTATTTTTAACAATTAATCCATTTTCCAGATAAAACTGGCATTCATCAGCCTTCTAATTTAGATGAGTATTTTAGAAGACATAGAAATGTCTGACATTTGCTTTTGTGTTTTGCAAACCAGCTATTTCTACACTTTTATATTTTAAAGTGAAGCTCTGATTTTTATTTCATTAATAGCCTCTTATATTATAAATCTAATCTGTTTTGGGATTTGAGTTAAAAAACTGCTCCCAATCTCATTTTAGTGGATAAACCAACTACTTTACAGAGTGTTTGCTAACAGAGGTAGCTGTTTTATTGATGAATGTAGAAAAAGCGTATAGTCCAGTGCTTTGTTCCATTCCTCTAATTTATGACACTAGTAATAATAGATGATGAATGAGATATCCAAAACATTAATAAATTATCTGAAGATGTGTACTAAATCAAAGAGGAGGAGACTAAGAAATAATCTCATATAATGCCTCCAAGAAAAGTAAGCTAATTCAAGAGTCATTTATTCAGCAATATGCAAAAACCCTGAGAAATTTGTTGAAATTGAACTGCTATAGTTAGTATGAGATTAATATAACTCAGCATTTCAAATGTGCTATTATAGACATTTGGATCGCCAGTTTCAGGTGGCAAGAGATGTAAAACTTACAGACTAAAATCAGTCTTAAATGTTTAAGTTAAAACTTGAGTTTAAGCATGTTTAAAATAAAACCCAGCAATTTTGCCCTACAGCAATGATACTTACATCCTCTTCCCTAAATTCATGTATCCACTAACAGGATTGAAATTTGCAGCAGTTTTCTGCTGTGGTTTGCATTTGGAACTTGATGATTCTATGTAAAATAGTTACTTGTTCAAAGAGAAACTGTGCAGCCTTTCATTTTTCTTAGCAGTGGAGTTTCTGTGTATTGTCCATTTGGATGCCACAAGCATAGTTCTCCTGGTGACACTGGAGTCTCAAAAGGAGCCTTCCATGTCAGAAGAGGCATTTGGCCACTTACACAGTATTAATGTGCCCCTTTGTTACAGACAGGCAGCATCCAAGCCGTGGGCTGGTTTTATGCAAGCAAACGAATGTCATTCTTAATAATCTATTTCTTAATGTTATCAAGTCCATTGAAATTCAGTCACCATGATGAAATAGAGTGACATTTAGGAATGGTAAATATTGGTAGAAATGAAACATCTTGGAGGTGGTTTAACGTTTTCTGTTTCACAAATTGACACTTGGAGTTTTTATGAACGTGATTTTTATCACATCTAACCTTCATCTGAAATTAGATAAATTTGTCATCAAAATGATCAAAATTTTCTTTCATCCTCCTTCTGTTGCCATTGTTTGGTATTTTTCCTTCCATGCCTTGTACCTTTGTTGGAGTTCATATGGCTGTACAGAACTAATCCAGCTGATCAATAATATATTTTTTCTTTGTTGAGCTTATACAATGAGTTTCAAAGTAGTTAAATGTTTTTGGTATGAAGTTAACAAAACATCCTAAAGACTATACTTTCTACATTAAGGACAATGGAAGACCCTTATCCCTGATGATTTTTGATCATATCTGATCAAATGGGATCACCTGTGGATACAAGTAACTAAACTTACCTACCTAGTTGTATTCAATGTACCCATTTCTTCTGTGTGAAGTAGTGCCAGAGGCCACATTACTGTGCAACAGGGGCAGTATAATAAGTAGTTTTCTGTATTTTGTGGATTCAGCTTCATATTTATGACTAAGATTATGCATAGACTGTTGGACACTAAGCCTCTCATACTGAACTTCTGGATTTTTTTTCACTCAGCTATCCCTGTCCCAATATCCTTAATAGTTTTAATGATCCAAAGTGTCTGGATGGTGGCTTGCTATCCCCGAACTCAGGTATATCTTAAAACTGGACATTTTTAAGGTACACTATTTTCTCATTTCCCAGAATGTGTTTTATTGGTCTTCTTTCTACACATAGCCTTAATTTAACCTTTAACTGTGGAGTTTATTGTAGCTGCAATTCTCCATATAAAAGTTGTCATCAGAAGGTATCACTAATTGCTTTCTACTCTCTGTTTCCTCTCAGTTTTTAGTAAATTCAATGAGTATTGTTAATCGTCTGCTACTTCTAGTCATCAATCTTCAAGATGAGCAATTAACATACTGTTTAAAAATAGTGAGTAGTAAACAGTATTTTCTTTTGTTTCTATATCAGTCTAGGTTCAGGCATCTTGTGAAAATCTTTCTATAAGTTGTAACTCAAAACAATTATAAAATCAAATAATATCCTGAGTTGGAAGGGACCCACAGGGATCATCAGGTCCAACTCCCAGCCCTGCACAGTACAGCCCCAAGAGTCACATCAAGTACTTGAGAATGCTGTCCAAATGCTTCTGGAACTCTGTCAGGCTTAGTGCTGTGACTGGGGAAGTGTTCCAGTGCCCAGCAACCATCTGGGTGAAGAACCTTTTCCTAATATCCAACCTAAACCTCCCCTGATACAACTCCAGCCATTCCCTCGGATCCTGTCACTGATCACCACAGAGAAGAGATCAGTGCCTGTCCCTCCTCTTCCCCTGACAAGAAAGTCGCAGCTGTAGGTCTCCCTCAGTCTCCTGCAGGCTCCAGGAGCAAACCAAGTGACCTCAGCCGCTCCTTGTATGTCTTTTCCTCGAGACCCTGCATCCTCCTTGTGGTCCTCTGTGCTCTCTGATAGCTCTATATCTTTCTTCTATTGTGGTGCCCAAAACTGCACACAGTATTCGGGATGAGACCACCCCAGTGCAGAGCAGAGCAGGACAGTCCCCTCCCTTGCCTGGCTGGCCATGCTGTGCCTGTTGCCCCCAGGACATGGCTGACACTCCTGGCTTGCCAGAGCACTGCTGACTTAGATTGAGTTGACCACTGACCAGGACCCCCAATCCTTTTCCACAGGGCTGCTGTCCAGCCTCTCATTTCCCAGTCTGTCCATACATTCAGGGTTGCCCTGTCCCAGCTGCAGAATCCAGCATTTGCCCTTGTTAATTGTCATACAGCTGTTGATTGCTGTGCCCTTTAATTTGCTAAGATGGTTCTGAAAGGCCTCTGACATGGAAGGAGTCAACAGTTCCTCCCAATTTAGTATTGTCAGCAAACGTAGTATACCTTTGAGTCCTGCATCCAAAAAATTTATGAAGACACTGAGGAGCACTGGCCTAGAATGGAGCCCTGCAGAACCCCACTCGTGACTGCTCGGCAGCTTGGTGTAACCGCATTTATTGTGATATAAATGAATGTGCCGTATTTATGTGTCAGATTAGGACTTCTCTGGCTCAGTCAGCCCATACTTAATAGCCACAGCTATTAAGTAAGCAACAGAATCCCATCATATATTCACTAACTTTCTCATTATGTTCAGTGTGAAATCAAGACATTTTAAAAATCAGAGAAGTCCATTAAATAGTGTTTTATGGGTTAAGGTGCTTATTCGTGGTTGTGCAATGTGACTGAGTTTCTTCTATCCCTGGCCCATTACAAGAACTTGAATAAGCATTTTATATCTACATGAGTGTGCTAGTGTCTCTTTTTGTTGTGGAGAATGTCTCAGAATCTCAGAGTGGATAAATCTCGCTTGAAATTAATTGGAGTTACCAGACAGAAAGAGAACAGTAGCAGAACTTGAGGTGTAGAAAGCTCACCTGAGTAAAAGCTGAATGGCCTCTGCACCTCATTCAGTTACTTATAGAAAACAGAAAGATCCTGCATTTTGCAGAAATTAAAGTATCTATATTGGTATTAAAATACGCTGAGAAAGGGATCCTGCAGCTCTTGCTTTACCAAAATTGGTGCATGATCAGATAGTACAACAGCAAATAAGGCCTAAATTGGGAGAGCCCTTCTACAGAACAAGACATGATCTGATCTTTTTGAGACTAAGATGCAATATCCACTCTTTTATATGAATAGACTTAAAGAACAACAACCATTAATTGTGGAAGGTAATGATTGCACATTGTATAATCTTAGAAAATAGTAAATTCTTCACTTGAAAATGTGTGCAATTTGTAATTTCTTATTTTGTGCTTCCAGAAATAGGGCATCCAAAATAAAAATTTGATTGCAAAGAAAAAATTTTCAGCCATGTTAAAAAAAACCTAAACAATTCACTTAATGTATTTAGAGATGACAACAGAGGAACCCTTTGGCCTTAAGCATATTACTTGAAAAATAAGGATCTTAAATGTAGTGTTGTACTCTGTCATATATATGACATCTGGGGGCTTATTAAAATCCAGGAGTGCATGACAAAGGCTCTTTGGAAAAGAGAAATGAACTTTTAAGTGGAAAAATGTGAATATTAAATAACTGCAAACTACTTACTTGCTCAGTTCATTTAAGTATAAATTATCTTTCATCAGCTCTAATAAATTGAGAGTACATTGTTTAAATAAATTTTAAACACAATAGAAGAGTGTCTGTAATTGGAAAATGAAATTTTGCTACCAAAATTAAGATTCCTTATTTTGGAGTACTTCCAGGTTAATATATTATTGAGAATTTCCCATTGAATACTGCAAATCAATATAATGAAGGGTTAATTGTGAAAACTGATATAACTTTTATTTTCTTATAAATCAAGAAGTTGGTGAAATATACACTTACTGTTGATCATTAGAATACAAAACTATCTGTTAAAATCAATTAACATGCATATCTGATGACTGATTGTATAAATATGAAAGTCAAATAATTGTAATCGTTAACCATGGCTTCAGGTCATATGAGTTGTCAGCTCAAAAAAACTAGAGGAGAAAGAGGTTGATTTGCATATATTTAATGTGGCATGCTGTACATGTGGGAATTTGAGATAAACCTTTGCTGGTAATCTGCTTGTTTTTATCTAAAAATCTACTAGGAAATGTGGGTCATAACAGTCAAATGAGCTATGTCTTATATTAATAGGAGTTGATTCAGTAGTTTGGAATTTAACATTTTGCTCTGTTTCAATAGTTCAGAATTTATTTTTACCTTAGAGACAATTGGAAGAAGCTTGCTAAAAGGTTGTTCAGAAATACTCCAAAAGTTTTTACCAAGAACATGCTCAAAATTATTCTGTAACACTGCAGGTCTGAGTTACTTTTTAGTTAGGCTTATCAATATATCTAAAAAAAACATTTTTAGTTTTTATGAATAAAAATATCAGATACATTTAAAGTTTTTATGAGGTACGGTACTGTGTCACAAAAATATATTTCTATGTGAAGTGGACCAACAAATAATCTTTAACTTAATTGATCAATTGTAATAAATAGAGGGGGGAAATTGTGGCACAAGAATGAACCTTATGCTCTTGAAATATTTATGCATTATTTAAATTCCTAAATATAATGAATGATTGTAGGTTTCTTTTTTTGTTGTTTTTTTTTTTTGTTTGTTTGTTTGGTTTTTTTTGTTGTTGGGTTGTTTTTTGGGTTTTTTTTGATAATGCAAAGTATTTTGTGTAACTTTATAACAATTCCAGGAATCTTTGAAAAGTGGGTTAGAATGCAGTAGTTGCATTAACTTACATTAACTATAATCTGGTTAAGCAGCTCTGTCCAGCCTTTCTCCCTGTGTTTACTCCTGAGTATTAAAAAAAAATCCTAAGTTTTGATAGTACATGGCAATCTCTTTCTAAAATTTCCCTGTTTCCTATATTCATGAGTTCCCAAAAGATGGAAGCAGCAGTATGTGGTTTCTTTTAGTCTGATTCGTATCTTCAAACTAAGAAACTTTCTGATAATGGCAATATCAAAAGGTGGAGAATGAAATAGCTTTGTTGCTCAGTCCTTTTACTGTGAGCCTGATTTATAATTTTGCCATCATAAATATTTGAAATTTGTTCTTAGGTGTGGGGTACAATCCAGTTCCTTGAATAATCACCCAAATTGATGTGAGTGCCAGCAAGGGAGCCTCCCTGTTGTAGCACAGCTTCCCAGATTGGGCAGAGTAGAGAATGCACACAATTACTTGGTTTTTGCTGTTCTTCTCTGTGAAGTACACCTGAACATCAGTGCCTTCTGCTTTAGCCTTCTATTGACAAATCTTCCTCACTAGCTGCATGGTGCAAGGCACCTATTCGATGTTTGAGGGCCAGGGGGTGGGGGGAAAAGGACCAGCTGGCAGAAGAGAGGAAGGGAATCAAATTCAGTTCCTGTCTTTGTCTCTTATGTAGGGTGGAATTTGCATGTGATTGCAAGTTGGAGAGAGGTGGTAGTATCCCAGGTTATTGGCTGGTTTCTGTCCCTCTTTTAATGATCTACATGTCTTATTTGAGCTGGTAATTATGACCCTCCAGCTTATAGACAGAAGTAGTTGTGTGAGGAGGTGAGTTTTGTACCCACAGATTAGAAGCCCAAATTAAACATGAAAGTAATTAAAAAATAAGTAAAAAGGAAGAAAAAATTTGGTCTCAAGATGTCAGTAACTGTAATTACACTTCTAGCTCTGCTGTAACTCATTGGTGAAAAATCATTGATACCAGAGGCACCAAAGCTGCAAATGAATGCTCTGTGGCTAAATGGTTCTTCCTATAGAAGGTCTGATTCCAGAATCTCCAGAGCCATTGTATGTCCCAGTAACCCTCAGAATCTTTTAATGCGTGAAAGTATAGGCTGCTTTTGCAAGGACCCATTGCTTTTAAAAGGAAGCATTTGGGATATATATGATTTGTTTTGGGGCTGGATGGGAATCAGAGATGTGGTTGTGGGTATGAATTGTCATTTTCAAAGAGAAATGTATACACTAAATGAGAATACATTGATAAAAAAGCCAGTCTCTTTTGTCCCACTTCAGAGATGTATACTGTGAGAAGAAAGTGCCTCAGGTTCCTTAAAATATAGAAGTTTTTGTACTGTTGTGTCTTTGGGGCTTGCAGTGTTATTAGCTCAAAGGGGAGGTATGCTTTTTCATGATGACTATATTTAGCCAGGAGGAATAGTCCTTTTTAAAGCAAATTGAAATGAGTGTATGAGAGCGTGAAATTATCAGCAGCACTGGTGCACATTTACATTCCTTCTACACACTCTTTTGAATGACCACACAACAGAACAAGTACTTCATTTCCACTGTGTTGATTTTTCTTGACAAAACATGGCAGTCTTTCCAAAGGAGGGTGTTTAGCCAAGATAAATATAAAATTTATGATTAAGCAAAGTGTTTTCTTATTATAATCCCTAAAGAGAATTTGAGACTTGTTAAATATAATGTGCCCAGGTAGTTTTAAGAGTAAATTATCCTTTATGCTTTTAAATGCTGATATACAGCAGCACCATCAGCAATTTGAGATATTACTTGCAGAAACAACACTGCACACTGATTTCCTTTGAAACAAGTAGCAAAAACCTGTGCATGTATACAATATATAACTTCAGTTTTGATGTATTCCTTCATTTTACAGTCCCATACAGAGATAAAGAATCCATGTCAGTAGCATGGTTTGTAAAACTGTCTCACTCTTTTCCTGTATGTAATGTGTGTTATGGAAGAAAGCAAATTATCTTTTTGACAGAATGGATAAAAGTTGATAACATGATTACACTTGTGGCACATTTCTTCAACTGCTCTATTTACAGAGTACCACTTTGAAGAAAGCTATGGCGACTGTCAGTATTATTCATTAAAATAAATGGAGACTGAAAATTGATTGAGGAGAAGAGTGGAATTTGACCTTTGTGGTACCAGTGTTGGCTTTGAGTGCAGTATTCTAATTAAATTGTGAATGTACTTAGATAGTGGATATTAAATGATCTCACTGTATTCTTTCAAGGACTATGAACTTCCAAAATCAAGGATAACATTAGATGTCAGCCAAGTATTTTGTCCTTCTCATGGTTTGTCTTTACATCTGAATTAGTGCCAGTTTGCACAGATTGTGTGTCAGCTTAAATACAAGAAACAGGCCTCAGTCTGCTTGAACTCGTTCCACCAAAGACTTCTAAAAACTTTCCATAGTCTGCAAACTGTAATGGTTGTTTCACATTAAGTTGCTTTGTAGAATTATAAAACAGCTTTTCTTGTGCTTTCAAATAAAATGTTGTCATCTGCTAATGAATGAGATACCATCTGTAATAATTAAGGTTATTCTACTTGTTTTTCCCCTGCAGCAAAACTTCTGAAGGTTTGCAGAAGACAATAAGAGAACCACCAAGAAGGCTATTGCAGTCTTGTAAGTACTGCACCCAGGAAAAAAAAAAAAGAAATATGTGAATTAAGAATGTTGTAAAGAGATTTTCATTTTTGGGGGAAAAATGAGCTACATAAAGGGATTACATGTAAAATACAGTGCAGGATGTATTGTAGCAATCATGTTAATAATTTACAAGGGAAAAACTGCACTCTTGTAAAATCTAAAATTGTATCCTTGTGCAGTGTAATCAGGAATTCACCAATAGCAATGAAAAATATTTCTCTATCCACCAAAGATTGATCTAGTTTATATACATTTGTTTATTTAAAACTATCAGAATTTAGAAAATCATTGTAGTTTTGTAGGTTTGTCATTTGTTTTAGTGACTTATTGTTTAGGTTATTTTGCAGAATTATTTATTTGCTGATTTATTTATGTATTTCATTATTTATTTATTTGATTATTTAGTAAATTATTTATCTGATGAATTATTAATACATCTTCATGACATGCTTTAAATTATTTATAACTTAATTTTGAGTTTATTGCTTTTCAACGCTGCATTGTTACTGACTAGTTTTGATTTTTTTTTCTTGGTTCTTGAAAATTAAAGTACTAGCTCTAAGGCAAAAGTATATTCTTTGCAGAATCCATAGATGGTTTTCAATGAAGTAATTTACCATGTAGATACTAATTTTGTTTAGTTTTATATTGCTTAAGACCACTTTTCTACTTACTTAGCTTTTGCTTCTATGATTTCATAGGTATGTCGAGATCAAATGAGTGACCTTTAAGGGGCAAAGATAAATGTTTGCTTTAAACAGTGTAGAAATAGAGTAGTTTTATTTCCCTTTAATAAGTACTCTTTAATTATTCTTCCAGTTAACATATATTTTGTCCCAGTAAAATGGATGTTTTTAAAATGAGGCTTTTGATGTTTGAACTAATACATTTAACTTTTAATAAGAAAATAAAATATTCACATTAGTAACCCATATGGAGACTTCTTTTTCAGTGGCAGTGTTTTAAATACATGGGGAGGAATGGTGGTATCCTTAGACATGCAGAAGGAAATACATGTTAAGGGAAGGAAGCTGGATAGTAAGGGTTTTGTTTCCCCCAGTGTTTTTTGCATGCATAGGAATTTATAAGCTCTTCAAATTTAGCATGCCTTTTTTGTTGTATGGAAACTACTTTCAGGTTCTGTGATCACAAAGAATCATTTCTAGTGCACAACATAGTGTGAAACCTGTTTTTATGTTCCTTTCCTGTGCCAATCCAAAAGGTCTGAAATATCATCTTTACTCCATAGAGGCGTGAGTGAATGTATAAGGGCAGTGTAAGGGGCCAATTTCAGGCTTTAGACATCAGCACCAGCTCAACAGAGTTTAAATTGGTACCTGGAATCCGAATTTGACTTGGAGTCAGTTCTGACTGATGGGCTCTTCAGAGCCAGTGAGCCACCTTGTTCCTGAAGTTGCCTGTTTGGCCTCTGTTCCCAGCGAGTACCTCAGGCAGTCTGAAACCACCTTGCAGGACTGACAGCCCTGTTTCAGAGCTGAAATGAATAGGGCAAAGCAGCAGTTCCTCTGCAGAAGTGCCGTGTGCATAATGTGGCCTTTATTCTATGTTTAGTGCTTGAAATGAATTACTATATACTTTAAAGTTTTAACACAGCATGGAAAGGCTGCATTGTACATTTCAAGTTTCAATGCTGTTGAAATACAGTAGAAATGGCCTCTGTAGACAGGTTTCACTATAGAACTTAAATTATGCATGTGTATATCCAAATTCCTTATTTTGAAATATTGAATGTATGAATATTTAATTTGTATCTTGCTTTAGTATCTTCATATGCTTGCCTTAAAGGAAGCTGTTTCCTTTGATTTATATACATGGATAAAAATGTGTGTACAGTATGTATCAATAGTTTTTTCTCTCTGTGGTGTTAGATGAACAGCTTTAGATAATGATAGCTACTGATTTTTATTCTGCAGCTTGCTACCATTGTATAAAACGTAAATTTGTCGTATTTATTCTATTAATCTTACTTGAATTTCAAATTCATTTGCTTTCCAGAAATATTTTCTTAATTACATGCGTTAAGAAAAGTCAAGTATGTTGCGGATCTTAATGATGCAGTATTTTTGGTCTGTGCACAGTAACAAAGCTCTGAATATTATTATTTGGGGCAGAGTTCCAATCTAAAATTTACATTTCTCCTTATTTGAATGTTTTCACTGAAGCTGAGGACTCCAAGGGAGTTCCTCAACATATCCTAGTTTATGCGATATGCTCTCTGAAATTTAGTACGCTCTTATTTCCTTTTGTAAATGAGGTCTTATTGTTGAATAAGACCTATTATAAGCAGTTACAAAGGTAAGTGCTGTCAGTGCATTCTGCCACCGGTTTCTTGAAGTATGAAACACTCCCTGAAAGACGTGCTACTACTGTTATGGGATAATATAACGCAGCTTATGTGTTGGCACTGAGAGTAGCTACTTCATAATGATGACAAGTGAAAGTACAGCCAAAGGTCACATTAAACAAGAGATTTCTTTCACACCTCATCCATTTTCTGGATGTGGTATGAAAATAGCTTTGTTCCCTGTACTTCAGTATTTTTAACAAGGAAGTTATCTTGAAGTAATTTTTTATGCCTTGTATATTACTTTGTTCGTATTTTAAGAGATAGACTAATTCTAACAGGCTAAATTGATGCTGCAAAAATGTTTGAAATTAGCTTCAATTTTGAGTGCAGTTAGACAACACAAGTAGTATTTCATCTCACTATATTCTTTAGTTTGCAGATTTGCTTAAATATGTAGCTTTAAGTTCTAGAAAAGGAATTATTGATGTGTGTTGGTTTGATCCAGCTGGCAACCAAGTGCTTTGTAGTCCCTCACCCATTCCTCTCTCTGCTGTGATGGGATGGGGAGTAGAATTGGAAAAAGGTAAAACTCATAAGATTTTGAAATAAAAGTTGAAATAAAGTAAAATATAATAATAATAGTAATGAGAAGAGAAGAAAACAGAGAGAAGGAATGAAACACAAGAAAAACAATTTTAAGAAAAGATTGCACACCACCTGCTGACTGACCCCCAGCTTGTGTCTGTCCTTGAGCAGTGATTGGCTTCTTCTGGTCAACTCCCCCCGGTTTATACACTGACCATGATGTTGTGTGGAATGGAATATCCCCTTGGCCAGTTTGGATCAGCCGTTCTGGCCGTGCTCCCTTCCAGCTTCTTGTGCACCTCCACACTGGCAGAGCAGAGACACTGAAAAGTCCTTTGATGTAGACTAAGCACTAAAACATCAGTGTGTTACCAACATTATTCTCATCCTAAATCAAAAACACACCTCTGTACCAGCTGCTGTAGAAGAAAATGAACTCGCTACCAAAACCAGGGCACTGTGCAAAGTGGTATTTATGTTGCATGATCATGGGTTTATTCTTTTTTGTATATTTTAAACAGAAAGATACATTTTTCTTTTCTGAATTAGTCTGTTCAGAAATAGGAAAAGAATTGACCTGGCTGTGTTGACAATTTTTTAGCTCTGCTTTAATGAGATCCTACCAGTATTGTTAAAGGATAATTTCTGCTGAAATGGTGAACCAGGATGCTAAAATAAGGCAACATTTTAGAAAAATGATTACGAAGTATTAGATAATGAACATGAAGCTGACTTGTTTCACAAAGAATGTTGAACAGTTAGGAGATACTGGTTGGGAAGCCTAAATCTGGTATATTATTGGTAGGTATATTTCTGTTCTAATCTAACTCCATAGAAATTGCAGAAGCCATATTAAGCTCTTCTTCAATTTGTTTCATACAGATAAAAGAATTTGCATCTCATGACTCACATATTTCCTGTTGTATCTTTAATACAGCCATTTTTAGTATTTTTCTTGCCTCTTTCCTCTATTGGTATGCTTAGAGAGTCTGTGTGTAGGAGCTTGTTATTTCACCCGTGAGGCAAGGAGGAGTTCAAATCAATAGCAGTGTGTTGTTGACACTAAATGATGTTTCTTCTTGCCACAATAAGACTTGATTTTGTCATCCTAATGATGCTAGCTTGCTTCACAGAATAGGGATCAGCACTCTCTCAGATCAAACTTTACAAGTTTAAAAAGAAGGAAATACTAGAAAAATAATCCAGTATTTGTGACCAAACACATGCATTGGTTTGTAAAATGAATATTCAAATTCTGTTTCATTTCATAGGGTAGCTGCTTTGCAAGGCATTTTGGAAGTCTGTGTTAAGGGATGTAGGATTGATCAGAACTGACATTGATAAAAGTCTGATATTTTAAAAAGTGATGTTGCAGACATTATTTAAAATACAAGTTCACATGAAATACGGATCTCAGTAAAACCTTGGCTAAAAAACCTAACAAAACAAGAAGCCTTAAGCTTATAGAAATTCTGTGTGTTTCACAGAAAAATCTTTGCAGCACTGCCTAGAAAGAGGAAGAGGGAGTGGGTATAACCAGCAAGATGTTACCAGGCCTGGTCCATGATTGCACTCTACAGCATGGTCCAAAAGAAATAAGCAGTTGTTCCTGACTTGACCTAAGGATTGCATAGGGAGGCTGTAGCTATAGGAAGATATGAATTTGAGGGAAATGATGTAACTATAGTAAGCGATGCTAAGATGGTAGGAATCTCCTGGATTAGTGTTGGTAGCAACAGTGGGTTATTAAGAGCACAGGGTCTTTTGTGTTGGACATCTGAAAGCAATTACAGAGTTGAATCATTCTATTATATTATCAGAATATCTACCTACTTACGGCAATATTTATGCATTTATTTACACCGTTTTCACTGTATGAAAGATGTTACCTTTTTATCTGAAAGAACTTTAAAGGTATGTCTGCATGATTAAACATTCACATTGTAAATTGCGAATTGTTCTGTTTGCACTGTTATCATTGTTTTGTATTTTTATGCAAAATATAGCTTCTCAGATGTTCACAGTGTACACTGCAATCTAATATTTTTTTGTTTTACAGTATCTCCCCTTCTCACGTCTGTAG